CCCCCCCCCCCCCCCCCCCCAACCAACCAAAAAATAATAATTCCAGAATCCCTGGGCAATTTTAGTTCAATGGACTAAATAGTCCGAACTAATCCTTCACAAAATTTTGAGCCAAATGCTTTACTATTTTATTTTAATGGGTAAAGAATATTTCAAAATAGTACCCAATCAAAACACGGCTTTAGGGGATTGGTATCAGATTAATCATGTTCAGTTGTAAAGTATTTGTCTAATATATCATGGAGCCTTTGCTATAGTAAAACAGCTGATCATTGTTAGTGTAGCAGGACACAAAGTCAAACACACCTGCCCTTGTATTCCTGCAAGTTGTCAACTGACAAACTAATTCCAAGTTTCTTGAAGGAGCAGAAAGTTGGTCTTGAAAATGCATCTGGCACAGCGTAATATTTTCCGGTCATTTTAACTATGTTGTGGCTGTTTTTATTTGACATTAATATATGCTAAATAATCAATTTTGTTTTAGTCTGTTAGTAAAGTGCTGATGATCACTGGAAAGCCTTAATTATGGTGCTAGCAGTACCTTTCCTTTTTTCATATGTTGCAGTCAAATTTACATGCTTGACCAGTTCTAATTTAATATGTTCCTCGTTTCAGCTTTGCCTACTTATTTTTGAGGAGGGAAGTTGACTTACATGTTTAATTGGCTTCTCGTAACTAGACTTTATTCTCGTGCTCTTTGGATTACATGTCAGTACGGCATCTTGAACAGAAACCTTATAGATTGAAAGTTCTAATACTTCTGTTAGAAGATTGAAGCATCTGAAACATTCAGCCAACTCATGACTTATCAGTCTATTACATTTTATTGTCATGCTTGTGTTTTCATAATGTTGAATATGACGAAGGGTGATCCAATGACTGTTTTTCTCTCAAAATGTTGGGGATGAGAGATTGTATTTTTAACTTTTGCAGAGATTTATAGGCAAAAGCTTCAACAATATGTTGCTAAAGGTGAGCTGAGTGAAGAGGATGTTGCTGCTCTCTTGCGTATACGTGTCCTTTTCTGTATTTCTCAGCAAACAGTTGATGCTGCTCATGCTGACATTTGTGGCCGTCTGTTTGAGAAGGTAAAATGGAGTTTACCACGTACTTATTTGCTCTTTCTAATAGTGGAGAAAGTAGTAATTTGTCTTCTTATATCTGGAAACCTAAACATGACCTGTATTATATATTTATTTTTCTTACTAAAGAAACTCTCGTCCCTATGCAATAAAGAGCACCTGTAGCACACCTGTTAGCTCTAGTGAGCAAGGATGTCATCAATATGAATGCCATATCACAATGTAGTTTATGTTTCAATGTTTGGTTGATATTGGACAAGGCATTCTGCTATTGTTGGTGAAACTTGATCGAATTCTTGTTGTGTAATTTGCGCCCCCTTTGTGACAGTCTGTCCTCCATGAGAGGAGAGATAAAAACTATGACATCCATTTTCAAAGGTAGAAGTCTGTCTGGAAATTGTGTTTGCTTGTATTCCAATAGCATGCAAACTTTTCATGCATTCTAGATGCTCATGTAGGAATGCTGATCAAACATTAGTTATTACAAAGACTAGCCTTCAAATACCGTTTGTGTCCTTGCATTCTTAAACAGCCTTACCAAGAAAGCTCTCGCTTCCAGCGCTATGCTCTTTTAAGCTCCTTGACAAAATTTCAACTATGCTACTTCTTGCGCATCAACCAACATTGTGAAAATAACTTCGGCTAACTAGTTTAGACATTTTCTGTTCATGTTGTTACTCATGATGAACAACATCCTGCAGGTAGTGAAGGATGCAATTGCATCAGGAGTTGAAGGGTATGATGCTGCTGTTAGGGCCTCTGTAAGAAAGGCTTCTGAAGGTTTACGACTGACAAAGGAAGCTGCAATGGCCATTGCTAGCAAGGCGGTATGCATTTTTCAATAATGACATTAATTTTCACCTGTTGATATACACTCCTCAGCGGAACTTATGATAGTTGCAATCATTCTTCAAAATATCTATCTCATGCGGTTCTTTGTTCTTGAAATATTATTTTTGCAGGTCCGGAAGGTATTTTTGAACTATATCCAGCGGTCAAAATCTGCTGGAAGTCGTACCGAAACTGCCAAAGAGCTGAAGAAAATGATAGCATTTAACACCCTAGTTGTCACTCAGCTGATATCTGACATTAAAGGTGAGTCCACAACGGAACCAGCTGAACCAGTGCAGGATGTACCTAAACAAATAGAGGAAGAAGAGGAGTGGGAATCCCTGCAAACATTAAGAAAGACTCGACCCAACAAAGAACTAGAAGCTAAGTTAGGAAAACCAGGTCAAACTGAGATAACTCTCAAGGACGACCTTCCAGAGAGAGACAGAGCTGACCTTTACAGAACTTACTTGCTTTTCTGTCTTCAAGGAGAGGTCACTGTAGTTCCGTTTGGAGCACAAATTACCACAAAGAAGGATAGTTCAGAATATTTACTTTTGAACCAACTTGGAGGAATACTTGGTTTGAGTGGAAAAGAGATAGTAGATATCCACAGGAATTTGGCTGAACAAGCTTTCATGAAACAGGCTGAGGTAATCTTAGCAGATGGTCAGCTAACTAAAGCTAGAATCGATCAACTCAATGACGTACAGAAGCAGGTCGGCTTGCCTCCAGAATATGCACAAAAGGTTATCAAGAACATAACAACTACGAAAATGGCAGCTGCAATTGAGACAGCTGTAAGTCAAGGAAGGATTGGTATTCAACAGGTCAGGGAGTTGAAAGAAGCTAATATAGATTTGGACAGCATGATTTCAGAACGCTTGCGTGAGAACTTGTTTAAGAAAACAGTAGAGGAGATTTTCTCATCAGGTACTGGTGTGTTTGATGAAGAAGAGGTTTATGTAAAAATACCAGCAGATCTTAATATAAATGCGCAGAAAGCAAGAGCAGTTGTTCAAGAGCTTGCCAAGAGTAGGCTATCCAACTCGCTGGTTCAAGCTGTAGCACTTCTTCGTCAGAAGAAATGGGATGGAGTGGTAAGGAACTTTCCTATCAAAATTTATTTTTCTATTGATTACCTGAGGTCCTGAACTATTATGAGTGTTGTAACTACAGTATATATTTCTCTTTTTTTTTTGTACTGAGTGATATTTTTGTTTTGCGTCTATCATAAGCTTAAATTTCAGAATTTGTAAGTGCCTAAAATCACATACATTCCTTAACTGGAGCTAAAAAGATTAATATCCTTTTTTCCATACACTGGCAGAACCAACATTTTTGAAATAATAATGCTCTGGAAATATGTTCTATTTCAATTAAAATAGTAGCAGCATGTTTACATGTGATTCACATTCCTTTTAGTGTCATTATGACTTTAATGTCAGAATCCTTTTTGATGTAAATAGCATCATATTTTATGATGAATTTTTTTTAGCTCATTATGTACAATATAAGTATTCTGTTTTTTTCCCCTGCAGATTTCGTCACTCAATGACATGTTAGCCTGCGACACAGCTGTCACTGCTGAGCCCTTGTCTTGGTCTTCACCAGAAGAGCTTGCCGACCTCTTCTTGCTTTACTTGAAGAGTATTCCTAAGCCAGAAAAGCTGGCACGATTGCAGTACCTCCTTGGTGTCAGTGATTCTACTGCAGCTGCACTTCGAGACTCGGCAGAACGAGGAGCTTTGCCCCTCGAGAATGAAGAGGAAGAGTTCGTATTTTAATCTAAGGTTAGTCAGTTTTGGTAGTTACATTTGTATGTTCCAATGAGCAGGTGGTTAATTAGATGGACTTACAGTGAGGAAATTCTGTGGTTCCTTCTTTATTTATCAGAACTTCACATCATATTGTTATATAACCATAGTGTTTGATTCTATGGTGCAGTAGTGTTAACTTTTTCGGTTTGCCTTGGCCATGTATTTTATGATAGGCTGTGCAGTAAGATTTGACCTTATATTTCAAATGTATTTATCTGTTTTGCCCGTGAATGTCAATTGCTCCATCCATTTGTGTGCGATCCCTTTCTATGTTGTTTTTTCCAGCTTATTTTCATTAAGGTGCCCTAAAGTTTACCCAAAATTTTTCACCTTGGGAATTTCACTTTGATATCCCAATGTATTTTTTAAACTTTTGATACTCCAAATTTTCAATTTTATTTTCACTTTTGATAACTAGCCCTGGATTTCATTTGATTTGATTTTCTATTTAAATTGGGTTATTTTATCCAATCTCTAGGGATCTGAACAATCTAGTGTTTCCAGTAGCAGTGGACGGGTATCACGGGCTTACACATGACATAAATCTTATAGAAAATTTATCAAATTCTAGACAGGAGTATCAAAGTGATTGAGATTGAAATTGTGGGGTATCATAGTGTTATAAAAATACTTTTCGAGTATCAAAGTGAAGAGTAAACTTTGTTATATCGAAATTAGAATAAGCTTCTTTTTTATTTTAACCAATGGAGATTTTTCCTGCATGCGTGCATTCTCTATTTGGTGAAATTGCATTTCATCGTGACCAAACTGTCGTTTTACGTAGCTGGCTTGCTACGCTATTCCCTTCTGTGCTCTCTCTATTCAGTGAAATCGCATCCTGTTGTGACAAAAGTGTTGTTCTGTTCCCTTTTGTGCTCTCTCGTGGAATGTTTGATGGCATCAGAAACGCTTGTATTTTAAGCTTCTGCATTTCGAGGCAAAACATTGTTGCTGGAATAAAAGTTACTGTTTAGAGCAGTATGGGTGTGTTGTAAAATTGCACGGATTCTATTCCGACCGTTCTTAGTACTGCATGAAACAACAGAGTAAAGTGGCATGAAAACGCTGTGGATGTATCAACAGTGAGTACAAGGGTGCTTTCAAACCGTTGCAAAGTTTATTAGCAGTGATTGTTGAATGGTTCCCGTTATTCTACACTGTTAAAAAGTGAAGACAGCTTTTTCTCCTTTAAAGAAAAAGTTTGTGGTGGTTTATTACGAAAGCTTCCAAAGTTCGTGATGGTCTTGTGAAGTGCCGTCACCTTCACTCCATTTTCATGGTGATCTCATCGCTGGTCTTTTCTAAATTGGCATAAAACCCAAATAGAGCACAAGTTACAGTATTCATCGTTAGGAAGCAGATCTGCTATAGGCTCAAACGCATCAAAACATATGAGGATAAATTTCATTTTTGAAGAAGATTCAAGTCTACTTTTAAAAGCGTCAGAGGTTTTTTAGCTCTCTTTCTCAATTTGTTTAAAATGAAAAATTGGTGCCAATTGATCCTGAATCTTACACAGCAACTCTATATTTCCTAGTCTCCACTTGAAGTATAAAATGATGACAAAATTGTAAACTCAGGAAAAAAAAACACTCAAATCTTTCTTGATTTTACTAAGAATTACTAAAACAGGACACTGGACTCCGTTAATAAAGTATATAAAGCGAAAGTAGCTTTCGTTGCTTTCCTCAAGAGTCGAGTTTAAGCTACTGCCAGCCATAATTGCTTGCAGGCGCGGTTTGCATGCAACGGTAGCGTCTGCAGGTTCTGTACAGTGGCTCCCAGTTCTGTGCAGTACTCGCTTCGAGTTTTCTGTCCAAGTTGTTGAAGTGTTGGACTCGCTTCAAAAAAATTGCTGTTTGGAGACGTCGTAATTTTTTAACTTCTAGTACGACTCGTTTGACATTGTGAAGTTAATATATATATATATATAGAGAGAGAGAGAGAAATATGAGTATGCTTGGTACCAAACACAAAATTTGTGTTTGATAGTGATGTATCACATCCTCATTCATTCATTACTCATGTGAATGTGATCCCGCAATTGAATGAGTGGAGAGGAATGTAACACCTCACTACCAAACATATCTAATTTTTATGCTTGGTAACAACAAGCATACCCATTTTTCTCAGAAAAATGTAAAAGAGCTGGCCAGCTCACGGCCCCGTGAGCTGACAGCTCTATGACATGTGAGCCCCCTACTAGTCACCGTTTTTATAGGACCCTTACATCAATCAATGATGTAAACCCTTACATCTCCAAAGGAATGATTTTAATAGGACCCTTTCATCTACATAGGGCTGATTTTAATAGGATCCTTGCCGCTCAAATGAAGCACGACCTGCTGTGTGTGAATGAAATACTCCTAAATTCAGATTACTAAAACAAATATATATTAATAAACAAGACAATTGAATTTGTGGAAGCACACAATGCAAAACTGCACCCGACCAGCGCGCCTCCCCCCAACAAAAATAAAAGCCCAATTAGGAGTAAGCTGGAAATTGGAGTTGCAACAAAAACCCCAGTCACAGATGAAAAAGTTGCACTGGAAGACAATTTGTAATTGTAATCACGACATACATTATTCACAATTAACCAAGCATTTACAATCACTCAAAAAAATGCCTCAATTACATACAACAGCAATCAATCAGCCACT